CAGCTATTTACAAATAACCTGTGGCACTATGCAGCAAAAAGTTAAAGTCCCTAACAGCCATGCTATAGCCAGCCAAGCTGTATATTGATGCGATGATCATGGTGATAACGTCAAGAAGGCCTGGTCTATCATCTGCACTGGTCAACCGGCACAGGCAAGGGTCTTGTCGACTCGGCAAGTCTTGTCTTTCAGTCTGTTCACCGCAGCCTGGGTTGGAACCGGAGTCAAACCAAGGTCCAAAAGGGATCTTTATGGGTTGAATGATTGTAATGTTACATGACTTCAGTTTGAAGACCCCCCACAAAAAACATAAACTACAAACTAAGTCAAAGTATAGATCACATCCGCCGCTTCGCCCATCATCTTCACTTCAAAGCAAACCTGAGGCATGGTCTGCACTGCGACAATCTCCGCTTCTGCGCAAATCTGACCAGGACTGGAAGCAGTGACCAGCTCAGTTGGCCGTAAACTTGGAGGCCAGGTCAACAGCAACCAGTCGCCACGCTGGAAAGTGGCGGAACCAATCGGGCTCTGCGGTGTCCTTGCATGCGGCCAAAAACAAAAGCACCGTCTCCCCATGTCTCCCCAAACAGGCAAAGAAAAATCAATAAGAAGGGAAACTCCGACAGTGCAAATGTTCAGCCGGCTGTTTGCTTTCATCAGGAAATCAGGAAGCAATGGGAAACAAAACAAATCACAAGGCGGTATTACCACTCACCGGTCGAGATGAACTGGTCACGAAGAGATCCTCAAGGCTCGCTTCTGACGAGCGATGGTAGTTCGATAGATTCCAAGGATCACCATGAGCTGCGAGCCTTTGGAGCCCACCTTGGTGTGTGCTTGTTGAAGGCAGCAGCCATTCCTCTCCAGGACGTGGCCTGGTCGAGTCATGTTGCACATGCTGGATATCACTGAGCAAGGCATACAAAGCCGCCTCAGGCCTCCTTGGGGCTGAACTGCAGAGATAGAGGGATTTACCGATTTGCCAGACAATCTCCAAAAACCATCAAAAACCGTCTTCAGAAAAGGAACCAAGAGTTGTGAGGGAAATACGGTGCATTGCAAAAACATCAAACAAGCAAGCATGATAAAGACTTCTTGTCGGCAACCTTTTTCATCCATTCGAGCGCCTGGCAAGCTCTTGGCTTGATTGATTGCGGCTTTTGCATCTGCGAGGAACTCACGAATGGCCCAGCGCGCGAAACGGCTGAAATACCTGCGAGGGTCCAAACACTCCCGGTTCAAAACCGTTCAACGGTTCCAGGAAGGTTCTCTAAACGGACTTCGGTGATGAGCAGAACCTTCCCTTTTTGAGTTCGAAAATGTCCGAACACTTTTCACCTCTCTCAGTGGCGCCTTTGAGCGGCAGGTGATGAGTGATCAGCCAAATCCAATGCCTTGATGGCATCAAAGAACTCCATGGCCTGTGCTTCCGGAGTACCTGCAGATCTTCAAAAATGGCTAGGATAAAACTTCTTGAGATTGTTGAAGTTCTTTGCGACTGGGGATGTCTTCCTCGGAGCCCCTGATCTCTACCCCCCTCACACCCAAAGAAAAACGAACTCGGTGCAAAAAGATACGCATGCCCATGCTGTCGGCAAATTTTGCCAACTGCTTCAGGCTGATGATTTGTTTTGCCCTGCGGATGTCCTGGAAGATTTGCACGCATTTCGCCATGCCTTCGGAGCAACCGACAACCAGAAACGGCGCAGCCATTTAAAGCCATTCAAGGTGCAAAAGCCAAAGCTGGAACTGTCAAACTGGAAGCGTCTCATTGTTTGATCTAACAGATCATACATGCCGAGTTTCGATTCAGCTTCAGCGCTTCCACGATCTTTCCGCACAGGACATCGTTAACATGGGCAACTGCAGGTTCAAACCGACCCACTGGCACTGGACCAGTAGATGTAGATGTTCCCACAGCTCCCTTCTTAGAAGGTGGCTGGGAATGATGCGAGGTATTCTTCCGCTTTTGCTGGATCTTTGCAGGTGTTTGCATAAGACCGTGGTTCTGCAGAATCTGGACATAATCGCATGTTGCTTTCGTCTTTGCAGCCTGCTTGCTGGGAGCAACAGCGGCCTTGCTGGGAGCACGGAATGTCTCTCAGTAAGCCAAAACGTGTTCCATTGTTTTACAATTCAATGCCAAAGAATGTGTGGGTGGTATTGCTTTGTGGCTTTGTCAAAAAGAGAGACCCGCAAAGCGGCTCTATAGCTGATTGTTCCTAATTATTCCCGAAGGTCTTTGAAAAGATCACCATGGCCGGACAAGTCCATGGACTTCTGCCGCATGGACTTTTCCGCCATGCACTCTGCCACCCCTTGCGACGAGACACTGTCCGGATGGGACATCCTGGGACGGTCATGGTGCAGCGATGTCCGGATGGACCTTCTTTTTCGAACCTCAGAGTAAATCGTCACAAGGGGCCAAAGAAGGTGACCCGGTTTGGGTTTGGCAAGTTTAGGGCGGAGTAAATCCCCATCGTCCATCTCCAGGTGACAACCTCCTCCTCAACACCTTCATCTGTTTTTTTTCCACTGTTTTTTACCTTTCATTGTTTTTATTGATTGTCGTTTCTCTCCTTTCGGCTCCATTGTAGAAATAGTCCAGGCAAGCTACACCTGACATACAGTAACCAACACAGCCTGAAATACCTGACCTGCAATATGATCCTGGAGTAAGGCGAGCGGGGACAAAAATTCCCCTTCCACAAAATGGCCACAGTGGCTGTTGTCGCTAATTACAGTGTTTGAGGCCATGAATTTACGCGATGTTGAAAAGAAGCAGTGATATGCCACATCCAATGAACATCAGTGAACAAACTCTTCCCTGAGGCTCGGTGCTTTACAGCATCCAAGGTCTCCCAAACCGCCACGATTTGCCACCCAAAGAGTCCCTTGAGTCAGGAGCGATGCCAGCTATGCGAGTAGCTATGCGAGTCGGTTTGGTGTTTTCCATTTTGCTCAGTCCAAACCGTTTTTGCACCAAACCCCCGGTTTTCTGCATACCCTTCCTTGCTGAAGCCTAACGCTTACTCACTGTTTCTACACATTCTGCACCTGTAAGTCAGCGTCCTTTCTTTTGTCTTGTGATGCTTGCCTTTCGGTTTGCTTTACCTTTCCTCTCTCCCTCTCTCTCTCTCTCTCCGCAGCGTCTGGCTACAACGCAGCCGTCCCACACGGACACGCTGAGGAAGGTCGATGCCGCTGCTGGACCCGCAGTGGCGCAGGGCGCAGCACAGAAAAGAACCGGGCTGGTGTAGAGTAATCTCGAGTACCTATTTAAAAGCGGACCCCTACTTAAAAGTCATGTCGGAACCCCCTAAATACGTTTTATATTCGTTGTTAAGTTACCGCGAAGCCGCGACTAAACTACCAACATTGCCGATTTTGGCGCAGTCTTTTTCTATTAGGTTCCAAAAGCAACCGTAACTGCCCACCTCTGTCCACCCTGTCTATCCACCATGACACGCCGTGTTTACACCAGCAGGCTTTCCTTCCCCCAATGGCACGGACTCACGCAAACGCACTTTCCACCGAGGTCACGCAAAACCGCATGGCACAGCGACATCACCTTTTGAAAGCTTTAGTTGTTAGTCGTTAGTCTAATGAAGAATCACTATTCTAATAAAGGTTTTTGTAGGGGGAAAAGGAAGACCCTTCGATCTGGAGGTTGGAATTTTTGATATGAGTTTAATAAAGGAGGTTATATAACATTTTCCTGGGTGACTTTTTGGTTTTGAAGCCCTTCCCAGGTGACCCTATTTTGGACCACCCCGATTTCAGGGACCCCCTATTAAAAAATACAGGCGACCGAGGTTTCCTTATTAGGGGGGAGGGCGGGCGTGTTTTTAATAGGTGGACCGGATTACTTTACCTTTCCTGTTCATGGCTTTTTGGGCCTTCGCCCGCGCGTTGAAGAGGCAAGCCTAGTACCATACGGCACCAGAAGCTGCCCGACTACCGTGAGCCTATTCGAAACAAGACCCAACCGTCTATCTCCTACCTCTAGAATCTGCAGAACTCTTACATCGCCCACCTATCTCATTCAAGGTCTACGTTTGAAGTCATCTTTTTGTTCATCTATCAATGTTGAACATCATCACTGCCTCTGCCTCTATCTTCCTCTCACAACACCAAACAGTAAGAACTGAATTCTGCTATGGCTGTTCTACTGGCTGTTCTATATACATACCAAAGTCAAGAGCACATTACTAAATACAAATGACAAGGGTGCCGCTGTATTTATTGCTAGCCAGGCCACTGGATGTCAGGTGTCTGTCCTCGCAACTGGCAGAATCGATTGAAGACATCCGCGGGGCTCCCGCTCATGGCATCAAGGCGTGGGAGACAGCAGTCCCACCATTCCACCGGAGAGAACCAGAGAGAGAGAGAGAGACGGTCCACCGCTTTGAGCGGCTGATTCGGTTCGGGGTTTTCACCGCATCTTATTGTAACCTCGAAGATGCTGGTGGAACGTATGCAAACACCAACGAAACGGAACAACATAATTTACTTACTGTTTCTAATAGCTTCTTGTTACTACTATATAGTAAGGCACTTGTTACTAGTAGCGATGCACTTGTTTCTAATAGCTTCTTGTGGACTGCAAGGAGATGGGATATGATGATATGATGCCCTCTGCAAAACTACCCTCTGAGTCACCTGAGTCACTAACATGGAAGACTACTTTCCTCTACCAACAATTGGTTTTCCACTTCCATGTTGGTGAGTCAGAGTGTATATATAGTAATTACTGTAGGTTTTTGCTACTTGCCAAGTATGGTGGTCGTCAATGCTGCATGACAATTCAGGAAAGCAGCACGCAAAGAACATAAGCAAACAGGCCAAGCTACAGAATGCTGCAAGTGTTCCAGCAGTTTAACCCTTTTTCACGGCCAAAAGTTTCTGGACAATCAATCGCATGCCAGAGTTGGAGGACGGACATGTGGTTTTGTGGTGCCAATGGATTCTGTGGTGCCAACTGTGCAGGTTCTCGCCTCCACCTCTGGGAGAAAAAAGCTGGATGGAAAGCGATACCACTCCTCACCAGCAGCTTCTAGCATGACATCAGAATGAAATCTTATGTGAAATCTTCACAATGTCGGTCTGTCTCGAAGTGAGAGCTTGCATTGGTTGGTCAAGCCCACTCAAGCCTTCCCGACGCACAAGCCGCTGGGAGCTCTGGAAGATGTCAAATTCGAGTAATAGAGGCTCTCCTTGGAAAAACTGGTGTCACTTGTCCACTGTCATGCATTGGCCATAATACCCCCCATCCATTCATGTAACTCTGTCGGAATGAACGCATCATGATCTGGGAGTCTCCCATCTGTCGCCACCCATCCCGGGTGGACGCGATGCCATGCGTCATAGATCTGCAAAGGAGCCTTGAAGTGATGCCAAAGCGCAGCACTGCGCGAGAATGAGACACCACAGTAGAAGGTCATGATGGAGAAAGCTAAGAGACCCTGCAGCCAGGGTGAACAAGAGTGGCAGGTCACCCTACTACAAACCCAACAAGAACAATCTATCCAATGAAGCACTCATAGGGGCTTGGCTACTCCTGAAAGGAACAATTGAAACTGTTTCAATCGAGCTCCTGGCACAATACACAGCGGCTCACAAGGGACCGTGCCCTGGAAGGACCCAATACCACCGTTCCACTCGTTGAGGATAAATTGGCTGTCGAATTTCAACAAATTAAATGCTTTCTCAAACCAAGGGTTGAAATCTGCCCAGTAGCCACGACGGTCTTGGACTTGACCTCCAGGCCACACACATAAGAAAGCAATATCTCAGCGTTCCACGAACGAACTTGAACTCTCCTATGATCAGTCAGGATGAAGTGCAGCCAAAGGGGCTACTTTGGTCACGAGACTGAGGAAGGCATCCAAAGTCACTGCCTTGATTACTGTGCTGTGCTCAGCTGTGCTCACGGGCATGAACATGGTGGGCAAATCTCATCAAATCTCAGGTTAGGTTGACGCACTAGTCTCCTGCAAGCAGGCAGCCCAACTTTCCATGCAAACGCTCAAGAATTGAGGTCTCGAGTGCCCTATTGTTCGATCAAACTCCGACACCAGGTAAGGAATGTTGCAAAAATTGGAGTGGAGGCAAGGGACTCCATTAATTCACTACTGCCTATCCAAGGTGCTGCAGCAAGGCAAATATGCGGATACGTCATCGTCAAGAAGCCTTGGCCAAAGGACCGTAGTGCCCTAGCTAGCTGCGGATAGCTGCGGTGAACATGTCCAAGCTCTTTAGAGCAAAGGCCGCGACGCTCCTCTTTGTGCGCCATCTTGAAAAACAGGGCCTGACTCCGAGACAAGTGGCGAAGTATGGCGCCATGCTTTTAAGCTACAGGCACAGCCCGGTACAGGTTAAACGGCTTCCTGATGACCAAAAGTCCCATCTGCCACAAAGGTGCCAATGTGAGATACATGGGCAGTAAGGTGACAAAGAGTTGCCAGCGGCGCCAAGTACATGCTAGTGCTGGCGCGGCAAGAAGGGCTGCAATGTTGAAGTTCAGCAGAAGGTTCCTCAAAAACAGGCAATAACCGCTCGTGGTGGCCAACGTTGAGTTTGTGCGGGCAGTGTAGGTGCATCTCGAATCAGGCTGCAAATGGAATGGTGCTCTTTCTTCTTCACCCACCAATCAAGATGAACTCAATAGGTGTGGAATCAACGTGTCATCAACCCAAACTTCTGTGTCTGTGCTATCCATAAAGGCACCTTTAAAGGCACGACTGCCGCAGTGGATCTGTCGATCCTTCTTCCAAGCTGCTTCACGTAAAAGGTCCATGGCTCCGTCCCATAAAGATCAGCCCCAGCGCCGCCGCCGCCGACGCCAAAGTTGTAGAGCAGGTGGTTGCCCATCCTGGGAGCGGCTATTTAAAGAACATCGCAGCTTCTGTACAAGCGGGCACTAAGACATGCCCAAATAAACCCTGGTTCTGGATGATGTTTTCTTCGCGACATTGATGCTGAAAAATGCTGAAAGGAGATTACTGAGAGATTGGGACATCTACTAATTCCACTGCCGGACCACCAAAAAAACACACAATGAAATATGAGTGGTTCACTCAGTGGTTCCTACAGGAACTCAATGGAACTCATCTTCCAATGTCCTCCACAGTGTCACAGGACCAATCGTCGGATTTCATGTGCGCTTGATTGCATTCATGAGTGGGGAGGACATCCACAAGTCCAAGCAATCGAACAACAGCAGTACGCCAGGCTCGCCCAGGCTCGCCCAGAGTGGCCTTTGTGTCCCATAGTAGCCTCAAACGGTCGAAGAGTCGCGGGAAAACCAATCAGGGCGCCACCCACTGACCAGATCGACATGGATTGTGGAATCCCATTTGCGCGAAGGAAACTCCGATGCTTACTTGCATATGCGGCATATGTGGTCTCGACTTCCAACACAGCTTGTAGGCAGCGCCTGATCCAATTCAGGTGTAACATCCAACCCTTTTCCACTCAAACGCGCTCGCCAACCTCCCAAGCATATCAATCAGCAAGAATAATGCATGTTGGGCTCTTCTCCACGGTGTCAGGGTGCTGGGCAGGTTTCCAACACCAATTATAGATATGTTTGCAGCTGCAACCATCTTCTGAGTACATGTCTGATCTTGCCTTTCTTCCTTTTTTGCCCTGCACGACTAGTGAGCAAAAGAAGGAAGCCAAGCGTCTCCAGTCCAGGAGTGAGGGTAGCACAGCAAAAACCAAAACAGACCCAGCAGCAATTGCCACCACTCCTCGGCTGAAGACGGATCGGCACCGTTCGGCTCGGAGACGGGCGGTGCCAAGGCGCCGATCCATCTGCTCCAAAACCGCGGACACGTGGTCAACTTCGTGGAACTGGTGGAACTTAAAACTTCCAAATGGAAGTTCCATTTATTGATGTAGGCTTGACATAGATCTTTTATGATCTTTTAATCGTTTCATGTTTCGTCGACCGCCGTCGACTCTGTCCACGTGCCAAGAACACCCCAACGACACGCCAAGAATCGCCCCAAACCCAGGTGGTCCGGGTGCAGGGCGACGAAGCCCATGGGGACAAACATCCTGGGCGACGAAGCACAAGGAATTGGGCCAGTTCTTCACAAGGCGGTTCGTCGGCGGTCGGCGACGAAGCACAAGTTGGGTCGGTCGGCGGTCGAAAGAGGTCCAAGCATCGGAGCTGCCACAGCCATACCCAAAAGCACTGCGAAAGACCTCGGCGGTCGGACTGAAAAGAGCTGCCAGGACCGCAACATGTGTATACAAGGTATTACAAGATATCATCATGACACGACCTGTCATCATCTACCTGCATGCATTTAATTTGGGAATAGTTTTTTCTTTATGCTAACGGTTCTTTTTTTATGCTGGATTTGGGTGGGTTCTTTTTTTTATGCTAACGGTCTTTTTTTATGCTGAGGGTTTTTATTTTTATGCTGAGGGTTTCTATTTTTATGCTGAGGGTTTTTATTTTTATGATTTTTTATGCTAACGAATGTAATTGTCGCGGGGCTTCAGTGGAGAATGTAATTGTCGCGGGGCTTAGTGAAGAATGTAATTGTTGCGGGGCTTTATTGGAAGGGCGGCGGCTCATCTGCGCACACAGATTTGACTCATCTGCGCACACACATTTTGTTAGCACTTGCGCCTCATCTGCGCACACAGATTTGACTCATGCGCGCACACAGTCCATCGGGGAGACTCAAGTGCGCACACAGGCCCTTTCCCGCATGTTTGCTCACTTAAAAGGGTCGTCAAGATGGAATGGCCACTTCCTCCTCTAAATTTTACCCCTCCCCACAAAAGGGTGAGTCAAGTTGAAATGGCAACATCCTTCTCAAAATTTTACCCTCGGGTGGCTCACCAAAGGGTGAGTCAACTTGGAATGACCCTGCCTTGCCCACAAAAGGGTGAGTCAAGTTGAAATGGCAACATCCTTCTCTAAATTTTACCCTCGGGTGGCTCACCAAAGGGTGAGTCAACTTGGAAGAGCAACATCCTTCTCTAAATTTTACCCCTGCATGGCTCACAAAAGGGTGAGTCAAGTTGAAATGGCAACATCCTTCTCTAAATT